CCCCAAAACCCCAAAACCCCAAAACCCCAAAACCCCAATCTTTCAAATATGGTTGAAATATTCATATTTTTGGTATTTTGTTCCTGATTTTAGGGATGAAGGAGACACTTGGAGGGGGATTTTGGGGTGAAAGAAGGGGGTTAGGGGAGTTTTAGGGGTGGAAGTAGGGTTTAGAGGCTTCTAGGAGTGTTTTGGATCTGTTTTTTGGAAATTTCAGGCCTGGGTTGTAGGTGGAGGTGAAGGGTAGAGGTAGGGGGTTGAGGTGAAGGGCGTTTTGGGGTGGTGAGGTTTAAGAAGAGAGAGGATTTTGAAGGGGTTTTAATGGAGAGAATGATAGAGGAGTTATGTTTTTTGGAAAATTTCGAAAATTATAGGATTTCTCGAAATTTATTGCTTAAAATAAGAGAAGATAGAAGTTTCCAACACGAAAATCCTTGTAAATCAGAAATTAGCTTATTTCATACCAATCTAAGTTTGGATTAAGTCAATAAGTTTCAGAATATTTCATAAGTTTCGAATATTTTCAAATAAATATAGATTTGAAGCTAGGAACCTGACCTACTGAACCTGAAAATGCACGATGAGAGCCCATAGAGGCTCAAGTCTCTTCATAAAAGTGTTCAATAAAGCACCAAAAGTTTAACCTGATCAGCTAGAGTTTCATAGTCACTTTTATGAGAAATCAACTTGAGCATTTATGAAGATTTTCATGACCAATTTTCCGTTAAATTTTTATGCCCGGCAAAATCCTCTAAAAACAAAATAAGAAGTTAGCAAGTACTGAGAACTAAACAATGATGCAACAGAGTCACTCCCTCCTCAGCAGGATTTGTTGTTAATGAGTTCACTAATTGGAAGAATCGCTTTAATTTGGGATTTTAATGAGCAAAATTTCACATTCAGGGGAAAAATAAAACTTTTAGCGAACCAAGCGATAAAAACCCTCATTGGAAGGCTCAAACCCCACAACAGCTCTTTTAGGATCTTCTGGGAATCTTCAGGAGAATTAAGCTTGAAATATTCGGTTCTGATGAGTAGAGATAGTCTCGATTTTGTCAGCTTGGGCGGTGAACCCTTCTTACTACTCGGGAATTTCAGTATTTTTCCTGACTTATATACTGATTTATTTATGATACGAGTGCTTTTAAGAACAAATAGTCTATTTTAATAAGGCTTCAGCTCGATTATAAGGTCTAGGCTTCACAAAAATTTATTATTAGTAAGGTTTCTAATGATGAAGAATTCATCTGATTCAAAACTATTATCCAATAAAATATTTACTAAGCAGAGAAACCTTAGCTAGTAAGTCTCGGCCTATTTGAATTGATGCGTTAGTCAGTACTTTACTCGAGGTTTCATCAGAACGGATGAACTTTCTAAAACTAGAATAATTCTTCTCTGACATTAAGTTTAGAAATGAATCGGTTGGATGAGGTATCCTTATTTCTCAACTTGCTCAGGATATATCTGAATTTCAGATGTTCAGTGAGCAATGAGGAGCCCTAAAAAGGCGTAAAATAGCTCTCTTTATGAGGATACAAAAGTGAAGTTTTACTTGGGATTCGATACTATTTCTTAGTGTTAGCTACACAGAAAGGAGAGAGTTCCTGAGCATATAAAATAAGGCTAAACTTATATAAACTAAGATAAGTTTATATTTTTGAAAGATGATTGCAAATACGTTCATAGAGAGATATGATTTATAACTGCAACCTTGCCTCAGAATAGGCTGATATTCTCTTAAGAAGATTTCTTAGAGAGTCTGACATTTGTTAATCTAATCCAATTCAGATCCAGACGAGTGCTCATTATACTGTGAGAAAGGCAACTTATTTTGTATTTACGCTCTTTAGGGCTTCTGGCAAAGAAGAAATTATCATAATAATACCAATAAAATCCTCTTTGATTGAAAATTTTGGACTGGTTAGAGATTTTTGGAAGTAAGAATTCATGAGAGAAGAATTTTGAATGTTTCTAAAATTAACATATTTCTTCCAAAAATTATGAAAATTCATGAAATAGGTCATATTGCTGGTTTATTTCAATGGTGTTTCTAACGGAACCAGTCTTTAGTTATATCTTAATCAATGCTGAAGTTTTAGCACTAAAACCCTCTTCTATAAACTAAACCAGGTGGTTTTAAAACCCTGATTTTTCGGAAAGTATTCTTACTAAAGTTATAAAGTTTACATAACTAGGAAATTTTTCGGAAAGGAAAGACTAAGTACAAAAATTCTGAGAAAGCAACTCTCTTAAATCTAACCACACGGTTCATGAGAGCAACTAGGGCCATGTGCCAGCTCTGGAGCAAGACTTTAGTGCTTAAAGAGGTCTTCAAATAATTTTCCAAACAAAATTACCTCTTTCAGCTGGCTATATATTAGTACTCCTGAAACTGCTAAAGAATCGACAAAGGTGAACAACAAGCTTGATAATTTATTTCTTACTCTAAAGCACTGGTCTGGCTGGTTTGAATCCTGCTGGTGGCTCAAATTTTAGAAATGCATGAAAACCCCAGCTTTGGGCTTGCGTATTCAAATTTTACGGATTGAATTATGAATAATTCAAAAATGAAGGAGTCTTATTGGTTGTTTTCTCTCATAACATCCCAAAGGAGAGGATGGTCATGGAGACAGAGCTTGGCTTTATTAATGGTATGATAGCTCTTAAAACCCCCCAGAAATACTGAAAATTCCCACTAAGTGCATCTTTAGAAGGAGCACTTACTAGGAACTTTTACTGAAGATTCTAAAACTTTAGATGGAGAAGTTTAAAGAGATATTAATATATTAACAAGAGAGCAGCACTGAAGTCTTTTGGAACATCCTTTCTGTAACTAGGGAGCTTATGAATGTTCTTCTATAACTCTTAATTTCTTTGTAACCTCTTTGGGTTCATAGAAGTATTTCAGTTCTTTTCTTTTAAAAGGTCGGTTTCATTTTTATCCTCTTATTTCAATTCAAATCCTTTCTAATAGCTAAAAACTGAACGGTAATGACTTGGGCTCTCATTTTGCTCAAAATAATCGTAGGAAATACTTCCTCAGATAATGTTTCCACCAACAGTTTTCTATTCGCTTCTTTCCTCAACCCTTTCCCTTACTTCCCAAGTTTCTGAGGATCAGGCCTACTAAACTTTTTAATGAAAATAAGCTGGTTATAAACCTACTAGTTTGTGTATAAAAGTAGCTTAAACCCTTCATATACTAGTTTGAAGTTTATAATTCTTCGATACTGGGATTATTACAATACTTAAATAACTTTCTTTATTTATGCCAAATCTATTTATTGTTCTATTAATATTGTGATGAATGCATTAATTTAAATCTCTGCTTCTATAAATGATTTTGATAATCAAGAATCGAGGAATCTGTACCTCTTCAACGAGTTATTTCCTCTTACTATACTTTGCACAAAGATGTCTTGTTATCCAGCAAAATATATGAAAGTTTCTGAAATTTTAACTCAACCTATATAATAGGAGCTAGTAAGACTACCTCTTTAAAATGACGGATGCATACTCTGCGATATACTATTATTGAGACCTTATTTAGCATTAAATGTTGGGTTTTTGTGTATAAATAATTAATAGTCCACTAGATTTTCGAAAGAAATTTCGAGTATACTAGACCTAATTTATTCTCTATAAAATTTAAACGAATGATAGATCTTTATGGTGAAGACTGTTGATGAAGAACTTCATCTCTAAAATGTTTCTAAAAGAGGCTTGATTGCATTTCTTACCTTCTCCGATAAAGCTCTTTGGTTGAGGATTTTAGTTCTATATTTCGATACTGATCCTGGCTAAACTATCTAAATTATTTCAAGTTATTGTGTAAAACCATTTCAGATTTTTACTAAAGTTATTCATGTTATTAGCACTATCCAAGGCTGCTGAGAGTCTTTGTATATGTCTTTAGCCACATATCCGAATTTCTATCTTAATTCTTAAAATTTTTGTGCTAAAACCAGAGATTTTAGAACCAGAAGACTCATATTACTAAAAGATTAAAGCTTATGGTAAATTTTATCAGACAATTAGATTATTAAGCCTCTTTTTGATAGACAATTCTCTTGAACTATTGCAGCTTCAGATTGGGCCAACTAATCTGTAATTCATCAGGCTTAGTTAGACTCTGATCCCTGGTAAGAGGCCCAAGTTTTATGACATTTCTTTTTATGGGCCTACAGGGAGTTAGATATGAAACAAGAGGAGTAAATTAAAGAAGATAGAACTAAGCTTACCTTGAGGTTGTACTTTTCAGTATATCTTTTGCCTCAGAGGTTACATCCAAAATTCTTTCTTTGCTCAACAGCTGGTTGACTATGTCTCTTCATATGTTTGATCATATTACCCTTTTGAGTATAGGCTCTGCCACAAACCTTGCAATTATACGGCTTGACACCTTCATGCATGCGACAATGATCTAGGATACTCCAAGTTCTGGAGAACTGCTTGTTGCAGTTGTGGTGCTTGCAGATATAGACAGTGGTGATGCCTCCCTTTTCGTTCTTCCTTTTCTCGAATGAGCATTTGAATTTCTTCAAACACTCAATATTCTCAAGTGTTTTTGTGTGAGTGGAAGGACGTCTGCCAACATTATTCTCAAGAAAGTGAGACATAGGATGTTCATTCTGGTTCTGTTCCTTTTTAGGAGCTCCAAGAGAAGCTACGACTCAGGAGTGAGAGTCAACCAAGGAGTTTTCCTTGTTGAGTGTTTCTCAGACATTATTCAGCTCTATTGGAGTATAGCCTATGACAAGGGATTAGAAAAATGTCAATTTGTGATAAATAGACTAAGATACTATAAGAGCATGATAAACCAATATTCAGGGCTTATGAAATTTCTGATTCTATTTTTCCGTAAAATAGAGTTTGTAAATATGAAAATTTCTTTAAGTTTTCAAAAATTTCAGTAATAATCATTATGAACTTCTCCAGGTTCATGCTCAGAGAGAGCGATAATTGGGGAAGAATATAATGTCAGATTTCTTAAGGTTCAGCTGGACAATAATATCGTAAAAACCCTCTTAACTTATTTTCTAGTAGTCCATAAATACTAAGAAGGGGATTACTTACTATCTCAAAATTGGGTGGCTTGCATTTGATAAACTTCGAAAAACTGGCCTGTCGGATACGTGAATACTTGAACCTGACTCTGGTTAGACCACTGGCTAGGCCACTGGGCCATTTTCTCAGGAAGAGGAAGAGTTCTAGAAACTATTGGGTAATCCAGATGCTATAATAAAGTATGAGTATTTCTTCATGAAAACTGCATAAAGTATTCTTATAGCCACGATAACCATGGAAGGCACTCCTTACTCCTCAATAATTCTTTAATAAGTCATTTGGAAGGAATAATCCAGGGTGATTCATTTGGGTGTAAATTATTTTTATAAAATATAGAAGAATTCAAATTTATACCATCTGGCTGGGGTTTTGGGGTTTTGGGGTTTTGGGG